TTGTAGATAAGGATGTGGAGAAATTGAAACTCTTTTGCACTGCTGGTAGGGATATAAAATGGTGCAGCTTCTGTGAAAAACAGTATGGTATTTCCTCAAAAAATTAAAAATAAAATTACCTAATGATCAAGCAATTCCACTTCAGGTATATACCTATGAGAATGGAAAGCAGTGTCTTGAGATATTTGTACACCCATGTTCATAGCAGTGTTATTCACAATAGCCAAAGGTGGAAGCAACCCAAGGGTCCACTGATGGATAAACGGCTAATCAAAATATGGTATATACATATAATGAACATGCTACAGCATGAATGAAGCTTGAGGACCTTATGCTAAGTGAAACAAGGCAGTCACAAAAAGACAAATACTGTATGATGTTACTTACATGAGATATCTAGAGTAGTCAAAGTCATAGAAACAGAAAATAGAACAGTGGTTTCCAGGGGCTGGAGGAAAGACGGGGAATTATTGTTTACACAGTTTCAGTTTTTCAAGATGAAAAGAGTTTTGGCGATAGATGGTGGTGAATGTTGCAGAGCAATAGAAATGTACTTAATACCACTGAACTGTACACTTAAAAATGGTTAAGATAATACATTTTATGTTATGTGTATTTCACCATAATTTTAAAAATTAACTCAAAAATTCATTTATTCATTCATTCATTCATTCCGTCATTCATTTTGTAATGTTCTGGGCACTCTTTTAAGGGGTGGGGATACGATTGTAAACATGACCCTATGCATACCTGCAAGGACTTTATAGGCTAGTGGGGCAGTCAGACAAATAAACAGTGAAATATTGTCACAGTGTGACCATGGTTGTGGGAGCCCATCAGATGGGCACCTAAGCTCTCAGTGTATGTTAGACCCACAGCACATGTCTAAGAAATAACAGAAATGGGCAAATGGGCAAAGCAATAAATGCTGCAACATTTGTGCCTTTGGTTCATTGTCAGAAAGCTCTCTCTCAGACAGAACTGCTCAACAATGGAACTTCTGGAGATGATGAGTCTGCTACTTCCAAAGTGGTTTGATTCAGAGGCCAGAAAATGATTTTGGAGGGATATTACTGAGGATATTTACTTGTTATTTTAAGCATATAAGCATCATATTTCTCTTACTACTCTTTTCAAATAGAATCTTACCAAGGACAACTGATTTTATTAAGATTCTGTTCATTCAACTCCCACTTCCAGTACTCTTGCCTTGGTCTTGACAGCAGCCTCATCTTCCTAGGACCAGAGTCCACTCCACTAACTCATTCTCTACACTGCAGCCAGTCACTCCCTACTCAACACACTTCAGCAGATCCACATTACCCTTGGAATATTCCAAATTTCTTAATGTGGTATATTAGTCAGCTTGGCCTGCCAAAACAAAATACCATAGACTGGGTGGCTTAAACATCAGGAATTTATTTCTCACAGTTCTGGAGGCTGAGAAGGCCCAGGTCAAGGTTCCTGCCAATTTTGTTTCTGGCAGAGGCTCTCTTCCTAGCTTGCAGAAGTTGTCTTCTTGCTGCATCCTTACGTGGTAAAGAGAGAAGGAGGTCTCTGATCTCTTTTCCTGTTCTTATAAAGACACTAATCCCAACATGGGACTCCCACCCTCCTTACCTCATCTGAATCTAATTACCTCCCAAAGGCCCCACCTCCAAACACATCACATTGGGGGTTAGGGCTTCAACATATGAATTTGAGGGGGACACATTCAGTCCATAACATGTGGCTTCTACAGCCTTGTTTTCCAGTTCATCCCCACCTTTCCCACTACTTCCCTTTAAGCCTACAACCCAGCCATACTGGCAGCTGGCAATCCCTTGAATGCACTTTGTTCTTATTTTGTTTCTGGTCTTTTGCTCAAGCCATTCCCTACGTCTAGAATGATTTTCACCCACCTTCCTTTGCCTGGACAATTCCTTTAGGTGTCTTTCTCCAAGAAGCTTCCTGGCCCCCAAACCAGGTCAGGTGTCCCTCATCTGTGTACCCACTCTTGAGTTCCTTGTACATTCACCTCTATTTGTTGCTTTTACCATTCTGTATGGTATATATATATATATATATATATTTTGGTGGCTGGCTGGTATGGGGAACTGAACCCTTGACCTTGGTGTTAAAAGGCTGCACTCTAACCGATTGAGCTAATTGGCCAGCCCGTCTGGTAATTAATGGTTTGCGGTTTATTTGTCTTTCTTGCCTCAGTATCCTCTACCCCAATGAGCTCCTTGAAGACAGATTTGGCTTTGTTTACCTCAGTAATATAACGTGTGGCTTATAACGTATGAACAACAAATATTTTCGTTTCTATAGCACTCTGCAGTCTTCAAAGTGCCCTGACACAAATGAACTCATCTACAGAGACCTAATTACATTTCCTTAGTTAACATTCATTCCTCCTGAATAAAATATTCTTTTAAAAAATATTTCCTTTACTTACAAGATTTCTGTGAAGTCAGTTATCTATTATGTCATTAATGTGACTGAGTCAGGGCTCAAACTATCTCAGTTTTGCCTGATATACTAGAAGAATTTGAGAAAAAGCAGATTTCTTTTGAATGACTTGACTGGAGGTAGGTGTCTATGGGTGTGTGGTGGGGAATGGGTGCACAGAACTCACTCATGGGCCTCAGCTAGTGATTTGATCTTTTCTCATGAGTTCACATCCTGGCTTTCCTGGAGGCAGAAATTGGAGCCAGGACTAGAAAAGGCATGCTGTAGCTTGGAGGAAACTATCTCAGTTCTTGGAATCACAGAAGTAAAGAGCCTTAGCTGATCTGGTTCAACCTCTGCCTTTAAGAATTGGAAAAGAGAGCTAGTATTTTGCCCAGGAAACCTCTGAAGACCTCCAACCAATCTCATTTTCCCTTCTCCAAAAGGCTGGACTTAGAGGTCACTACGCTCCTGATCCCAATCAAAATATCCCTTAGAATTTATATCTCCTTTCTCTGTGCATCATCATCTGAATAGTATCCTCTGCGTAGATGATGTGTTAATATTGCTATATAGAAATTCATGGAAGATAAAGTTCCTGGCCCCTAGGAACTTACAAACTTAGACCAGGAGTCTGAGAGAGATTTGCATGTCAGTCAAGTCAAAAGAAACTTATTAATACAGGTTTTATTTGAAAACCAAACCAACATTAAATCAAAATAATTTTTATTGTTTTGCTTTTGCACTATTCAGTTTGTACATGTAGATGATCTCAAGTTATAATTTAAACTTAGGAAAGTGCTGAGGATGAGTGAACATTCGCTTTTTCCCTGGGTGTGGAGGAGTCAGCAGAGAAGAAGGGAAATGACATTGCTGAGCAGCTGCTGTATTCCACAGCATTATAGTTCAGTCCTCACAGCAAGTCTGTGATGTTGGGATTGTTACTCCCACTTCTCTGGTAGGACACTGAGGTGCAAGGATTCCCTCTGGTTAGGTTGCTAGTAAGGTAGGGTGGTGGTGAGGTTTGAATTCAGTTTTGACTATCATCAGAACCACACAAGGCTGCTAAGCAGAAAAAGATACTGGCATTCTGGGTGCCCATTATCAATTTGAAGGACATGCAATCTTAAGCTTGAAGTAGGTCATCTGGTTCAGCCCTGCCTTTGGCAGATGGAGGAGCCAAAGCCCTAAAAGGTAGAGTGAGTTACCTGCAATCAAATGGGGTGAAAGAGGGCAGAAGGAAGTGTAGGCATGAGTGTGGGGCCAGAGCTGGCCTAACCCTGACAAATAGGAAACCTGAAGTGAGAAAGGAAAATTCTGTCCAAGAAAGAGAAGGCAGAAAAGCAGCTGCTCTTATTCTCACACCTGAGGTGTGAATTCCTTTACGGAGTCATAATAATTTTCCAAAAATTGTGAGTCCTGCTACTTTAAGCTGCCAGCCAGTCATCTACCTCTTTTCCCTCAAGCCTCACAAGCCTTCATGAAGGTGCCTCACAATTGAACCAGGCAGTGGGGGCTGCATGGAGTGGGTGAGGCTCCTGTGGCTTCATGTTACCCGCTGTCAGCCTGGCCCCTGAATCCCTGGTTCCTTTGGTCTCACCTCTAGACAACTGTGTCTCTCAAAAACTTCTTCCCTGGCAAGTCCTGACAAAATCTTTCCCAAGGCATTGTCCTTATATTTCCATTCATACAAAGCTTTTGCGGTTATAAAGTGCTTTCATGCCCCGCTTCTCTCTTGATCCTCGTAACACCCCTGGTGAGGTAGGCAGGGAAGGGATTATCACCCCCATTTTACAGGAAAGAGGCCAAGGCTGCCCTCTTGAGTCTCCAGTGTCATCAGGGAATGATTACAAGCCTCAGCCTCCAATGGCCCACAGGACCACTTTGGCACAGGTTTTAGGTTTTCTCTTTTGTTTCTCACATTTCCTAGAATCCCAATGAATTCTACATGGCAGACGCATTACAAGTAGGCTTTTGATGCATGTGCAACTGTTGTAAGCTTTGTGTCGCTTCTGCAGTGTCCCTCTAGACTCCTTTGCTGATTTCCAACTGTATTATGTGCCACTCCTGTCCCAGGATTGCAGTCTTGCCTGTTTATGATTCATTGTCTACTCAGATTTTTCAGGGGATACAAGTTTGCAAACTTCCGTTTTATCCAAGTCGATCTGTTCTGATTCCTTTTCTCCTGCCTAAATGTTAGGCATCCAACCTAATGAGTTTCAAAAATTAATATAATTTATTTTCCATCTTATCAGGGCAAAACAAAGATGTTCTTAAGAAAAAGTGCTGAATGGGCTGGCCCGGTGGTGCACTGCTACAGTGCGCCGCTTGGGAGTGCGGTGGCGCTCCCGCCGAGGGTTTGGATCCCACATACAGACCGGTTCCCGCTCACTGGCTGAGCGAGGTGCGGGCGCAGCACCGAGGGTTGCGATCCCGTGGCCGGTCCCGGTCCAGTACGGGCGTGACACTGAGGGTTGTGATCCGTTGCTGGTCACGAAAAAAGACAAAAAAGAAAAAAAAAAGAAAAAGTGCTGAATACCAGAATCCTTCCTCCTTGTCTACATCTATTTCTTGAATCAGCAGCAAGTAAACAGTTCCGTAAACATGTGTGGGTCTGTGTCCATGTGTGCATGGACCCACTGTTTTATTCCATTCTTAACTGGTTTTGTACAAGCTGAGTATCAAGTAGCCATCCAGTCTTGTTCAAAATGGAGATTCCCGTAACATCTGGACGTTCATCAAGGCCCGTTTCATCTGCTCATAGGTTACAAACATCATCACATTCCAGCCTCCCAAACGCAAAAAGGAGGGTGTAAATCTGATGAGGAAAACAACCAAAACATTAGGTGGAGTGGGCGAGGAGACCACAAATAGATCTATTGTGCTCTCCCCCATACACAGTGTTAGTGCCATAGGACCTAGACTTCTGTTTGTTACGAGCATGTTCTGAGATGCATTCTTTTTCTTCTCTGCTGAAGGGATTTAGGCAGAAGTTGGAGTCAGGAAGGGAAAGAAAACTAACATTTTGAGCCAAGTTACTGTGTCAGGCAGTAAATTCTCACAATCCACTTCTATAGGGTAGCTATGACTGTTGCCAGGTCTCTTTTTTAGAAACTGAGGCCCAGGGAGGTTAAGCAGCTCAACCAAAACCACACAACTAGGAAATATCAGAGATGGGGTTTACATGAGCTGTTTGACCTGACCATACCTTGCTACTGGGTGTCTGGGCTCATTTACATCCTGAGTGGACACCTGTGAGGAGGCCCTGTCCCAGGACACCCAGAAGCTGGGGTACTGCAGGGTGAAGACAGTGTGGCACCAAATTTAGCTCATCTCCAGAGAGCCCACCTGTGCTGTGGTGGCCTAGCAGGGACAGAGTCCCTCACCTCAGCTGTATATCACCCACTCAGGGAGGAGCCTATGACCTGGCCTCTGCCCTCCCCTCAGCCCCTCTCCCCACTAATCCTTTCCTGGGCCCTTTTGCTTCTGCCAGATGCAGCTCTTTACAGTTCCCTGACCATGCCAGGCCCTCTTACTTCCATGCCTTTGCTCATGCTGCTCCCTCTGCTTGGAATGTCCCCTGTTCTCTTCCTTGCTTGGCTAGATGCTCTTCATTCTGTAGGACTCAGCTTGGGCACCATAACCTCATGCCATAGCCTTTCCTGAAGCCTCATAGGGACTATAGCATTGAGGCAATGAATGTGAACTCTGGAGTCAGACCTGGGTTCACATTCTTTACAACCTTGGACAAGTCACTGAATCTTTCTGAGCCTCAATTTCTTCATCTGTAAAATGAGGAAAATAAATAATAGTATCTTCCTTATAGAGTTGTTGTGCAGATTACATGAGTTAATGTTGGACAGCACACAGCAAAGGACCCAGGGTCTGTAAACGCTCAATAGATGTCACTATTGTCTGCTCCTGTTTGAGAGAAGCATAGCCTGGGCCTGGCACACACAGACGCTCAGTAAGTGTCTGACAAGTGAAAGAATAAACTGAGACAAGTGGCTACAGCTGAAGACTGTAATGATAGAGGCGCTTAGCAAAAGAACAATCTGAAATAAAGTTTTGTTATGTCATTCCCAGGCTGGAGAACCTGTAGTGGCTCCTGTTTGCTTGCTGTGTCCAATATAACATTGGGCACCAGAAAACTATCTGCTGAAGGCATCAGTGGTGGGACGTGAGAGCCAAGCAAACAGCTTCACAGTAGCATAAATAACATGCTGGGTATGGCCTCTGATGGTCTGGGCTTGAGCCACAGCTCTGTCATTTTAACTTGTGATCCTGGACAAGTTACTTAACTTTTCTGAGACTCAATCTCTTCCTCAGTAAATGTGGAGAATACTACCAGTCCAGGGAGTTGTTGAGATAACATATGTAAAATGCTTAGCACAGACCTAATATGTAATGACAGCCATCATAATGATTGTAAACAACCTACATTATTGCGTGCTTGCTTCGTGCTAGGGTCTCTGGGAGATAAAAGATGTATCAGCCATCAGTCTCTGGCTTTAAGGTGCTTGTGCTCACAAATACTGTAATATGAGGCAGGAGGTAGTAAACACCATAAAAATGGTATCAAATGGTATTGCTGAAGTTCACAGGGAGGAGGGAAAATTTATACCTAAGAGTGCCAGGGAAGACTAGTTTGAACTAGTCTTGAAGGATGGCTAAGATTTAGAGCATGTAGATAGCGAGGGAAAGGCATTCCACTCAGAAGGAAAGGTAAATGCAGAGGCACGAAGCAAGAAAACATCAAGTGTGTTGGGATAGTGAGCATGGCGGTCAGGCTGCTATCAGCGGGATCAGTGATCATGGCAGTGGGTTGTGAAAAGTCTCAGGATTACTAACCACCCTTCCCTCCTTCTCCTCCGCCCCAAAAGTTTGGAGATAGACAGTACTTTTACTTACCCTAGATTCCTTTTTCTTGATAAGGCTTCCCTAACTCTCTGTAGTGGAGTGAATTATGTTCCTCCAAAACTCCCTGAAGCTTGAATAGTGTCCCCCAAGTTTTATGTATTAGAAATGTAGCCCCCACTGTGACTGTTAAGAGGGTGGGAAATCCTATTATGGTAACTGAAAGGTGGAGCCTTGAAGAGGTAACTGGATTGTAGGACCCTGCAGTAGTGAATGGATTACAAATGGTGGGCAGGGGCGTGGCTGTGAGGGCTTTAAAAGGAGAGGAGAGTCTGTCTGTCTCTCTCTCTACTCTCTTTGCTTCCACCATCTTGCAACATGAGACCCCTCAGTCACTGTCACCACCACCAGATGAACTTTGGACTTCCCAGCCTCAGAAACTGTAAGCAATAAATTTTTTCTTTCTAAATTATTCAGTTCCAAGTATTTTGTTATAAGCAACAGAAATGTGCTAACATACTCTTCAAATCAGGTTTTGTTCACTTTTTTCTTCCCCTCGCTTCCATAATTCTTTATATTTATATTTCTCTTTTGTGGCATTCACATCTGTACTGTTCATCACTGTGTCCCCAGATTGACCCACGGTAGGCATGTTAGAAAAGACAGAGGCTGAGTTCTCTGGGAGGGAGTGCCGGAGGAATGAGGAGGAGGAGGCTTACCCCTTGTAGAAGGCTGTGAGGCCCTCCTGGGCCACCATCCTTATCATACAGTCCAGGGGGCTGTGGTACTGGCCTGGGGGTGAGTTCATGTACCTAGTCTTCACCACATCCACTGGGGAGGCCACCACTGTGGCACAGAAGCCAGCTCCAAAGGCAGAAACAAAGTGGCAAGGGAAGTTGTCTGTAGACAGGAAGGAAAGAGCAAATACCAGGGAGTACACTTGTTCCTGTTCCACGTGTGTTCATCGCTTGTCCCCAACTGAACCTTGAACTCCTTGAGCATAGGGATAATATTTTCCATATCTCTCACAGTGCCAAGGACTGAGCTCTTGGTAAGTACTGGCAAACTAGAACTGGGCTGTGACAGAGCTGAAAGGTCATCCAGCCCAACCACCTCATTTGAGGAAACTGAAGTCAGAGAAGGCGAGAGACCTTGCTTAAAGACACATAGTGAGAAGTGACGCTGGGACTGGAACCCAGGTCTCTGGCCTCCCAGCCCAGGCTTCTTTCCTACTTGTCACAGTGCTGTGCTGGGCACTTTTTACTGGGCACACTCCTCTCTTTACTCCTTCTAAAGGCCAGTTGCCTTTGGGTGGTGCCCATGCTGCGGTGCCCTGCTGAGGGAGGGCTGTCTGCCAGGAGCCCAGGGCCTCACCAGTGAGTAGGTGATAGTCCAGCAGCTGCTCCTTGACGATGTCGTAGGTCACCATCTCAGCACAGTTGACAATGGCATTCCTCGTGATGTTGGGCAAAGTTCCTGTTAGGAAGGCAGTGGGGGATGATGAACGAAGCACGGGAGAAGTGGACATCCTGGCTGTGAGGCCACAGGCTCCATTTTGGGGGACAACGTGCCCCATTCCGATGGTCTCAGCCAGAGGAACCCACCTCCGCTGAGCAGACTGCACACTTTCCTTTCCAGGGTTAACAACTTTCAGATTATCCATGCCCTCCTCAGAGACAGAAAACAGAGAGGCTCACTTGTGTTCGTCTGGCCACATTTTGGAGGATAATCTGCAATAACCATCAAAATTAAAATATGCCTCCCTGACACCAGCTGCCGCCAGAAAAGGAAGTCATTCTTTGGAAGAGGGAGGTGGGCTCTTGGAACAGTGACATAATGTAGCACCAGCTGGGTCCTAGAAGAGAGGTTTTTTTTTTTTTTTTAAAAAGATGACCGGTAAGGGGATCTTAACCCTTGACTTGGTGTTGTCAGCACCACGCTCAGCCAGTGAGCGAACCGGCCATCCCTATGTGGGATCCGAACCCGGGGCCTTGGTGTTATCAGCACCGCACTCTCCCGAGTGAGCCACGGGCCGGCCCAGAAGAGAGGTTTTATGGATGAGGGGACAGCCCTTGGGGGGCTTCCAGCCAGTGAGTGTAGAGCTAGGGCTGTGACCCTGGTGTCTTGTCCTTAAACCTCACTAGGTCACTGTTTCTTCTGCAAGGATTCATGAGACCTCTGGTCCACACGAGGGAGAGATTGCAGCATTTGTTAAGGTGGCTACCGTGTAGACACGTAGGGCACCCTAAAGTCTTTGCTTGCAAGGAAGCCCTCCTTGTCCTTAAACCTCACTAGGTCACTGTTTCTTCTGCAAGGATTCATGAGACCTCTGGTCCAAACGAGGGAGAGATTGCAGCATTTGTTAAGGTGGCCACCGTGTAGACACGTAGGGCACCCTAAAGTCTTTGCTTGCAAGGAAGCCCTCCTCACAGCTATGATCCTGGATGCTGCTGTTTTTTTCTCTGCGCCCTGCTTGAAGGCCCTTTCCTTCCATTTCCACACACCTAGAGTCCGCTCAGCCTCTGTGGCCCAGCTTAGGTGTCACCATCTCTGTGGAGCCAGCATGGTCTCTCCCACCTCCAGATTTGTACCTCTGCGGGTGGGGAAGGTGTCTTCTATTCATTCCTGTCTGGCTCACAGCTCCCTGCACATGGTGAGGGGTGGGTAAATTGAACTGAACTAGACATTGTGGCAGGTCAGGGAGGTATTTTTGGTTGGGCTATTCTTTGAATCACTGGAACACACCATGCTGGGAGTTCCCTTCTTGCTCAGTTTCCTACCCCGGCTCTCGGCTCTTGGTAGAGTGAGTTCCGCCCAAGGCCCCCTGCCTGCAGTCCAGACTTACCTTTCCACAGGCCCCTGATGCCTTCCTCCCTGGCGATGGTTCTGTAGGCATCCATAGTCCCGCTGTATTTCCTCTCACTCCTGGGCCCCAGCTGCACGCTGGCCTGAAATCGGACCTTCACCACATCCGTGGGCTGGGCACAGGTGACCGCCATGGCCCCCGTGGTGCAGCCAGCCAAAATTCGGGTAGCAATGCTGGAGTCTGGGAGGAGCAGAGAGAGGAGCGGAGAGAGTGGGCTGCTGCTCCGCACTGAACCCCTCTCGGGTCGCCGCTGCTCTCCACTGGGCTGCGCTCGCTCCCTGGGTTGGAGGTGAGGAGCTGCCCCACGCCCCCGGCTCGCCTTTCAGTCTGTGCGGCCCGGCTCCCCTGCCCCACACGCTGGGCTTCTGCACACCCCCGTGGTGTCCACAGGGGCCCCGGGCACTCACGGTCTGCTCCTTTGGGGGTGTAGAACTGCTTGACGGAGTCGTAGAGGCCAATGCGGATGGAGGCAAAGCTCATCTGTCGGTGTAGGCCGGCGACCAGCCCATTGTAGGGGCTGCAGGGGCCCTCGGTGCGCACCATGGTCAGGATGGTGCCCAGCACGCCGCGGTACTGCACGCTGCGGGGCGCCTGTGCCGTCTGGCTCTCCCCCTGGATCTGAGGGACAGCCCAGGGTGGCATGAGGAGCTGTGTGCCTGGCGGACCTGCCTGGCCGAACCTTGAGAATGAGCATACGCATCACAGCCATCACACAGCAGTGAAAATAGCTGATGTTTGTGCAGCATGTTAACAGTACACAAAGCAATATCATACACAGTGTGGCCTTTGACCCTGAGAGCTGATCTGAAGGGCACATTGTTTCCCATTTTATAAATGGTTAGTGGCCTGTCCAAGGATGGTTTACAAAGTAGGGTTCGGCCATGAAGGGCCCTGTCACATCATGCCAAGGCATTCAGATTTTTGTGTCTTGGGCGATGGCGATGGGGAGGAAGCAAGGAAGGGTCCTAAGCAGTAGAGTGAGTGGCCTCATGGGGTTCTGTGTGAGGAAGGGCTCGTTGGTGGCCTGATGGGGGCTGTGCTGGAGAACTAGCCCTTCTTTTGATGTGGACAGTGACCTCTGGCCAAAGGGCCCCTACCTGCAGGCGGACCTTGGCTGTGTCCAGCGGAAAGGTGAGGAGGTCGGCAAAACAGGCTGCTGTGCCTGCCCCCAGGAATTTCACAGCTGTTGTGGGTGGCACTTCTGAAGGCTTCAGTCCAACCATGGTCCTGAAGGCTCTGCTGGGTCTCTTTGGGGCCCAGCGGAAGTCCAAGGAGAGAGGCTGCCCTGCACCCCTGAGCTTTACTGCAAGGAGGAGGCTGCAGGAGACAACCCAGAGGAGGCAGATGGAGCCTGTGCTGTCAGGCCCAGCCCCCAGGCGCCCCTCAGCACCCTGGAGGGACTTTAGAAGTGAGAATCCTGGGCATTGCCACATGTGAGCTGCATGAATTAGGCCTATAAACACAGGTCACTATCCCTCATATCTTACAATCCTCACCCTGTTCTCCTCCCCCCGCCCCCCACCATGGGGCAGGCAGGCCTGTTAGTGAGATCTTCACTGTATAGATGAGGAAACCAAGGAACAGGCAGGGACCAGACCCGGTTCTGACTCCACACACACCCTGGTCTCCCTAGGATCAAGCTGCTTCCTGTGAGAGGCCTTCTCTGCTAATCCTGCTCCCCGAGGTGTGCAAAGTCTGCTGAGTCTCATCATTTCAGATCCTTCCCTGCCAAATAAGTGAAATAAACATTCCTTGTGACTCAATGAAACTGTTATTCATCTTGGATGAAGACTTTTTTTTTTGGCAAGGCTGCCTGAATATGCACTTAGTATACGTAAAACAAACAAAAACAAGCCAATGTGGTAGTGTGGATATCCATGGTCTTGCTTTTTGTTGAAGGCATTCGAAGCCCTTTGCAGTTACTAAATGGTTTGCAAACCCATCTATGAGGTATTAAGTGCCACCCATCTATGAGGTATTAAGTGCCAAGCATATGAGTAATGGCTGGGTGAACATCACTACCCTGTTTGGCAGACATAGAAAATGGACCTAGAAAGGCTGAGATCTCTGCAGATGGGCACAGTAAGGCCCTGTCCTCTCTGGTGTTTTTCCCTCAGCCTGTCTTCCTGCCTTTCTGAGCTTCCTCTCTGAGAAGGGTCCAAGAAGGGTCTTTAGGAGACTGATGTGGAGCCCCAGGGGCCACAGAGCTGAGGAGACAGCATCACAGATGTGCTAGGAGAACCACCCTCTACCTACCTCCTTCCCTGCTCCCCTTTGCCCTACAGACCAGCAGCTTACAGGCTTGTCTCCTTCAGGGTGGCTCTGGCTCCTCTGCCTGGGGGCTGAAAGGCAGCATGCAGGCGTGGGGGAGCAGGTGCCTCTCCCAGTGCTGCATCCCGGTAGCCTCTCTCTCCCAAGCCCTGGCATTTTCCCTGTCCTTCACACCTCTGCAGCGACTGGGCTGTGGGACCTCAGCATCATGAAGCTGAAGATCTGACTCAGAGTTGGGGAGGCCCTTGGGGTTGTGTTCTCTAGCATCTCATTCTGGTTGTAGGCATGTACCTTCTTTACAACCTTTGTTGGGGGGCCACCCAGGCTCTACGGAAAAAAACCCTACAAGTCAGGTAGTTTTCTCCACTTTCAGACTGAGGCTTAGACAGGTGAAATGACCTGTCTGGGGTCACACAGCGAGCAGAGGTAGGATTCCCACCAGGATGTGTGATGACTCCAGTGCATTCTCTGCTATAGGCCATGTGGCATGGGGGGTTTGTGCTGTGCCAGACTCTGCAGGGAGAACTTTGTGGGCTTTGCCTCTTGCTAAGACTGGGTCTATCTCCCTGGGGAGGCCTGTTCTCCCCCAGCTGGAGGGCTGAACTGTTAGGCGGGGCTTCCTTTCTGAACCTACTGTCTTCAGCTGCCTCTGGCCCACCTTCTTGTAGAAATGAGCTCATTGGCTGCAAAGTTTTCCCCCCTAGATGGGGAGACCCAAAGACAGGAATGAGATCTATGTATCCTGCTTCTCTGTGAAACCTGGTACAGGGAGGGCACTCAGAGGAGCCAGGGAAGACCAGTTGACCAAAGAATCCACTTGCTGAAGTGGGGAAATGGAAAATGAGATAAGAGACGACCACAGAGGCCTTTGGTAGAGGGCCTTGAAAGCCAGGGTTACACATAATCTACTGGAGGATAGGGGGAGGTTGGTGGTTTTCAGGTAGGGAAATGACACCATCAGACCTGTGTTCAGAACATTCTGGTGCAAGCGTTGAGGATGGCCTGGAAAGGAGAGATGGGAGGCTCAGAGACCAGCGAGGAGCTTGTTGGAATGGTGCTGGCAAGAGATGTTGAAGCCTAAATTTGGTCAAGAGCAGCAGCCAGGGGTGAAGTTGGAGCCTATTCTAGGGGCAGCCCTGATCCACGCAGGGGAAACGGAATGAATGGGCATGGACTCAGGTCAAAAGCCACACGTGGGTGGAGGGCTGTAGTACTTTCACTGGGCCAGTTGGGAGAGAAGGGGAGGCCTCAGTGGTGGGCACAGGTAGGGGCTGCCACATGTGAGCTGCATGAATTAGGCCTATAAACACAGGTCACTATCCTGTGTATGAGGCCGGTGCTCCCCTGCCTTTTTCCCTCTTCACTCCAGCCTCCTGAATCGTTACTTGAAGAACCCTAGCAGCCAGCAGACCTTTGCCACTGGCCAGTAGAGGAAGAAGTAGAGAGTGGAATTGTCATCCCTGTAGCTCTGTTGGGGCACCTGGAGGATGGGACGTTTACCCTGCATGGCCCATTAATGTCTGCTGAGTGCCTTATAGACAATGACTAATTCAATTCCTTTATAAAGCTGTAAGGTAGTTGCTATTACTATTTTCACTTCATAAACAAGGGACTTGAAGCATCAAGGGCTTTAGCTAGTCATACAGCTGGAGTGATGAAGCTGAGATTGGCACCCAGGTCTGTTTGACACCTGAACCTGTGCCTGTTCCACTGCCAGAAAGTCTCAGACTCCAGGAAGAGGATCCTTTGAGCTGCTTGTTTATAGAGTGGACTCTTGGCCATCAGCCCCAGAGATCCTGGTTCAGGTCTGGGGTGGGGCCTGGGAATCTGCATTAGAAACAGTAGCTCTGAAGCCTGAGTCAGAGGACCCCGTTCTGAGATATCCTACTTGGTGCCATGCTGCCTCCCCAACTCCATCCCCACCCTCACTGGCAAAGCTGCCACAGCATCACCACTAAGGAAGCCACCTGGGTACAGAGTGACCAGAGGCTCTGTAAACCTCCCAGCACACGACTTGGGCCAGGCCTCAGGCCATTGGTGCCTCCACTATCTCTACTTGGGAAAGGGCTCCTGCACTGTCATGGGGAAAGGGCTTTATGCTCTGAAGGAATCCTAGAAATTCTGGGCCAAAGAAGAAAGCAACTTCCTACCTATGGGGATTTGCAAAATCCCACCAGAAGCACCCAGCAGGGCAAGGGGAGTGAGTCCTGGATGAGTGACACAAGCACTGGGTTCAAGCCCCAGCCCTGCCACGGTGCCCTCATCAGGGTTGCAGTTCCCTCATCTTGACAATCTTACCTGGCAGGGGCCAGACAATCTCTATCAGATGCTATGGCTAGTGGTTCCTGCCAGCTCCTGGCTGCTCTCTGTAAGCCTCCGATGAAAGGGAGGACAAGAAGGGAGAGGCAGAGGGTGCTAGGGGAGGAGAATGGGGTCTTACCTGTGAGTCCAGCCAGGGTAGGGGCAGCATAGGGGCTCCTTAGAGCTCCAACCCAGGAGGTGGCAGCAGGGATCTGATGGCTCCTCTTTGCTATTCACTGTTGTCTCTGCTGCCTCCTGCTTGGCACTGGTCTTTATACACCCCAGCTGACCTGAAACCTTATCCTAGAGAAGCTGGTTGACAGCTTGATCACTTGACACGAGGCTGGCTGGTGAGGGACAGCAAGGTGAGGGGAGAGGTCAGTGAGTTCCAAATCTGGTTCATTTCCCTAGACTTGGGGCTCTTTAATATAGCTCCTTCAAACTGCCTTGGTGATGAGGGTAAAAGGGGGGTGTGGTGGACCTGTCATCTTTGAGAGTACAAAGATCAAGGCCTCCTGCGGTACCCTGCGCTGGGTTCTCCCAGGCCTCCTCTAAATAATGATGATGATAACTGTCATTTCTTGGTGCCCCCTATGTGCTAGATATTTTACATGCATTACTTCTATTTTTCACAACCCCATGACGTATGTACTATTAGGATTCTAAATTTTTTAAAATAACAGATTTATTGAGATACAACCCACCTATTTAAGGTGTACAATTTAAATGGTTTTTAGTATATTCAGAGTTGTGCTGCCATCACCACAATCTATTTTAGAACGTATTCATCCCCCCCACCAAAAAAACCTCCATACATATTAGCAGTCACTTCCCTTCCCCATCCCCCCAGCCAACCACTAATCTACTTTTGGTTTTTATAGATTTGCCTGTTTTGAGCATTTCATATAAATAGAATCATACAAGATGTGCTCTGTTGTGACTGGCTTCTTTCACTTAGCATAGTAGTGTTTTCAAAGTTCATCCATGTTATAGTATGTATCAGTACTTTATTCCTTTTTATTGCTGAGGATCCTAAAATTGTAATGTTTATTTTACAGAGGAGAAAACAATCTCAGGGAAGGCAATGACTTACTCAGGGCCTATCTGCTGTGACCACTCTTCTCAATGTGATGACGCTTTGAGGCTTCAGCGTGGACACCGCTGGAGTCAAAGCTGGGGCAGGGTGGGAAGGGTCCCCTTTAGGCCCCATCTGTAGGCACTGAGAGTAAGGGTTGCGCATAGCTGAACCAGGGACTCAGGTGACAGAGGAAGGGGGGGAGGGGAGAAAAGCAGGAGAGGAGATGGGGAGGAGGGAAGGAAGGAAAGGGAGCTAATTGGGGGGGGGCAGAATAGTAGGCAGAGGCCATTTCTGGATTTGGGCGCAGAGCCACAGTCACATAGCAGGTGGTCAGAAGTCCAGAAGCTTAAGTGCAAAGCTTGGCCTGTACTTGTTCTCTTCCTTGGACCAGACCCTGCCCTTAATGTCAGCAGAACGGGCAGTGGCATTAATGTTATAAGGGTGGTGGCTAGGGCTGCTGAGACTGGGAGGGCTCAGGAAGCAGGTTCTGAGCTACACCTGGAAATACCAGCATGGGGGTGTTGGGGTGGATGGCAAGGGGTATATGGCAGAGAGATGAACAGTAGGAACCCAAACAAGTGTGTGTGTGGGGGGCATGCTGGCAGCAGGCCCTGGAGAAACCCAGAGGGAGGGAGGGCTCAGTATTTTGGCCTGGGAGCTTCCTCAGGGCAGGGCCAGGTCTGTGTGCTTTGGCTCCCTGTCCCCCGAGTCCAGCCCATGCTGTAAGTTCTAAGGTTGGCTGCTATGGGCTGGGAGGCAGCCAGCCCCTGGGTAACCAGAAACACCTATTTTCAGCTATGTGGAAGGAGTGCTCAAAGTATGGAGACACTGGCTAGTTCTGGTGGTAGAAACCAGCATCTACCTCCTACCCTTAATCTATGCTGCAGGACTCTGCAAGCCATTTCACCTCAGAACCATCACTGGAAACACATCCAACTTCCAGGGATAAGGAATTGGTAAATAAGACACTCTTTGTAAGTGTAGGTGTGGGTTTCAAACCCTCAGGTGCTTTTGAGTCATCAGAGGCTGTCTTCAGCCTGGGGGGTAGGGGCAGCCCATGTCTTCCTGTGGACTTACCTAAGTTGATGCTGATCAGGTTATCTAAAGGAGCTGGAGCAGGATTCAGAAGGCCTATCTTTCATCTGAGGCTTTAACCCCTCAGGTGGGTCCCCTGACTGCCCCTCTGTAGACTCCCTGTGCCCCAAGGGAGGTGAAGCCCTCAGCCTTGAAAGCTCTGCCCTGACGACCTAGGAGGGAGAGTTGAGAGGGAGGCCAACCTCCGTGGGCTGGGGAACGGGGTGGGCTGGAAGGCTGAAGCTTAGGGAGCTGAATAAACAGATGAAGGGGCAGGCTGGTCTGAGGCTATATCACCAATAAGGAGGGCACTGGTGCCTTCTCCCGTTTCCAGCATCACTTTGCACCCTGAGGCTGGGCATGCTCTGCCTGCCTCACAGCTACTGGCCTGCTTGCCTACTAGTTTGCTCCAGGAGCTTCAGGAGAGTAGGTGGGGTTGACATTTCCTAAACTTCCATAATGTGCCAAGTGTGGGCGAAGCACTTTCACAAATGTCATCTCATTTGATCTTCTCCACAACCCTATGAAGCTGGGGTTATCTGTTTTACAGATGAGGCCACAGAGGCTCAGACAGAGCCAGGCTGGCCTCTTCTCTAGCCCCAGCTGCATGTGTGCCCTTCTGGTTCTCTCTATAGCTGTCCGTGGCCTGGCCGATTCTCTGAGCTTACCCCAAGACCCATCTCTTCTGGGAAGCCTTCCCTGACTGCTCCAGCCCACATGGTTTTCCCCCATGAATTCTCTGAATTCAGAGCACTTACTGGTGTACCCTGTTTTGGTCACTGAGCACAGTAGCCTTGCGACATCTCTGGGGATGTCTTGTGTGGTGGATTCACTTCCTAGCTACATAAAGAGGTAAAACACTTAATTCATTGAGTTTCAGTTTAACTATAAAATGGGCATCCTAATAACTAGTTGTTTTGAGGACTGAGTGAAATGACATGCGCTTGGGGTGAAAAGCAGAGCTCTCTCTGTTAGTTCCCTTCCAACCTTGTCACCCAGCCACACATTGCACATCTGTGTCCCTTTCTTATCCTCCCCACAGGGCCTTGTCTATGGCTCAAGTGTGGTCTGACAGCCTACGCCAGAGCTACCCATCCCAGAGACAAGGGGGATTCTGAGGGACCTCTTCCAGGAGACCCCTCCACTTTGCAGATAGATTTCAAGCATCAGCAAAGAAATACTGGCTGTCACTCTCATCTGGATCAACCTGATCTTTGGGGGAGCTCACAAGACTTATGGTAACCCTGGTCCCTTGTTCCAGATGAGCTTTTTTCCCAGGGGACTGTATGGCTGTCAAGCTTTATTTCTGGCAATTAGAACACAGATTCCTAGAACCCCTATTCCAGTGGCCAACCCAGGAAACACTTGTGCACAGAATACAAATACCAATATGATTTTATTCAAACACAGGCAAGAACAATGACCTTCAGAGCTGGGTAAAAACAATAAGTTAAAAGCATGATTAGAATTTCAGACAATCAGGTAAAAAGTTTGAAGGAGGCGATTTCTTCCTCCTCTCCTATTGATTAATTTAACACAGCATAAAAATAATTTATATCTATAAAATACTTTTATTCCCAAGCAAATGAATTTGAAGTGGCCCTAAGATTTCCTTGGCTATGCACGATGCACACAATCTACCACCCACCCACCAGCTCCAACCTTTAAGGTGAAACGGCCCACCATATTCAGGCAGAGGGTGGGCTCATGTCAGCAGTCAGCTGGGTCAAGGGCACTGGGAGGAGCTTCTCCACTGAAAGATGCCTGCTTGGGTCCCTTGGTCAAAAGATGGGAGGGCCACTTGGGCACTGGAATCCTTTTGTTTCCAGCCTTTGCTTCACCATAGAAGAAGCTGAAGTTGTGGCAGGTGGACACTGGGCTGGTTTGGGTCACTCCTCAAGTCTGAACTGACTGGGTCTCAAGGCACCCATGTACTAGGCTGGTGGTGGTTTCAGGGCACCAGAGTTGGTGCCTCCTGAAAGTTGGGCAGGGCTGAAGGAAGGTGGGCAGGTGGCTCCTTCCCTCAGTCCCTCAGCCTGCTTAGTCTTTCTGGGAGTACTGGGAACAAAATATCCGTGCAATCCTGCGAGTTTCTTCCTCAGGCAGGTTGGGAGGGAGCGAGGTAGGTCTGGGGCGACAAGGCCTTTGGGATAGGACTCCCCTGGTGGCTTTGCTCTTGTCCTGGGGAGGAAGAAGTCAGCTAGGTTAGCACTGAGGATATGGCACTGCCAAGAGATGACTTTGGATCCTCTCATCTTTTAGTTCTTTGCCTAATATTTACATAGGGCTGACTGGTTTACAAAGCACTTTATATACCTTATCTTGTTTAACCCTCTCCTCAACCCCATAGTGAATACATCATTTCCTCATCTCCATGTCATAAATGAGGAAACCACAGTTCAGATGGAATAAACTCAAGGTCCCAGAGCTCCGAGTAGCAGAGCTGAGATGTGAACCCCAGCTCAGGCTCTTTCTGTGCCTCTGGAGGAGGGGACTGTTATGTCCAGGACAGGTTTGAAGTCTCATCCCTTCTCTTGCTGCATGAATCTAGACAAGCCTTTTGTCCTCTGAGGTATGACTGTCCCATACGTGATCATGGGAATATATCCAACTCCTGGGGAGAAGATATTGAATAATATACTCTTTGAATGCCCTTTGCAGTTCCTGGAGCTGCCAGGTTGCCATGAAGCAAATACCCACTGCCCTACTACTAAACATCTCTGTCTTGGGCTGACAGCGCATCATAATTCCAACTTTGAAGCACCTGCCTTTGGGTTATGGCACCATGGTTCTCTGGACTCTCACACTCATTTGCTTATTCAACCTTTTTATTTTTTGCTTACTCTGAGCCAGGTTCCTGTGCTGAAGGAGCTCAAAGTTATACAGGAAAGTCACCCAGGCAGGTGGTGGAGAGGAAGGCCCCAGGGAAGAGGTGGAGGCCTGGTAGGTGGAAGAGGCAGTGCTGAAAGGAGATAGGAGTAGTCCCTGCAGGCAAACCTGGCTGGTGATTCATCAAAACTTTTGGGAGCCTGAGATCTATTCAGCCTGATCGACTCTTTCGAACAACAGGCAGACACAGTTCCCATCATCATAGCACTGTTCAAGCTAGAGGGGAAAGACACTGACTTACCCAACAGTAACAGAGATGAGGCATAGAGCTCGGGAGCAGTGAGAAAGGAGCAATTAATAACAGCTGGGAAAGTCTGGGGAGGCTTCACACAGAGGTGGGATCCAAAATGGGCAGGGTTTCAACAGAGCTGTGGGTGGGGGTGAGGTCATCCATCAGAGGGAACAGCATGAGCACAAGCCTGCACCTGCTGGCTGGGCCCATATCTACCCTGGAGCTGAACTGAGTGTGGCTAGTTCAGCCAACCTTCCAGCACCAACACCAGGACCCAGTGACCTAGGGAGCCTTATTTGCATGGTCCAGGTCTGGGGACTAGGACAAGGACAGGGCTTGGCTCTGTGTGCAGGGCTGCACAGGGCCGGGGTGTGGAAGGACAGAGAAAACCCACTCAGCAGCATTTGGCTTTTACTGATTTCAATAGGGCTTAAAAAACATCTTGACTAGTAGCAAAGGTTCTTTCTTGATCAGGATTGCTACCCCAAAACACACAATCCTGCAGGGGCTGGGCAGAGGTGAAACTGCCCAAAGCAGGGACACCCCCAAATATATTAACTGCTTCTCTGAAATACTCCCACACTCCTGCTGGAGGCCTGAGGACTCAGAAAATTGTCAGCATAGTGTGCACTTTGCAGGAGCCATCTGCCTTCCAGGGGAGGCAGGAGAAACCCACACATAAGGAGAATCATCACAGTTGGAGAGGCTGCAGGGACCCTGGAGTATAGACAGTGGGTGTCATACATGGGCTGAAGTCCCTGGAAGGGTAATTTGAAGAAGAGGTACTTGAAAAAACATGAAGGTGGAGTTTGAACATAACACGATGAGAGAGGGTACACCAGGTGGAGGCTCAGCTTGAGCAAAGGGGTGAAGAATGAATTTCTTTGCTAGGAAAGTAATGGGGCTGGACTGGGCTGAACTGCAGGGATGGTGAGCAGCGGAAGACCAGCCTAGAAAGAGGGCCTGATGCCTGCTGCGGGAAGTTTCTGAATGTCTGAGGGGAATCTGATCTTGTTCTTCTTGGCCGCCAATGAGCTGATCTGTAAGGGCCTTCCCGGTGAACAGGGGTGGGGATGTTTGACCACTGTCCTGGGCTGAAGGAAAGAACTGGTGTTACTGTGGTCTGGGTCTCAGACACGGCAGCAGGCCAGGGACTCTCAGACTGCCCCATTAAATCCTCCTACGTCCATATTGGGGGTCCTGCTCTTTTCTGGGCACCTGGACACCCAGGATATGAACATGATAGGCCTCTTTGGCAACAGACATGTCTTAAAAGAACCTTCATTGCCAAAGGTGGAACTCTGCCAGAGAGAAAACACAGCACATGGAGAGTAAGGAAGGCAAATAGAGCACATGGAAGGAATGGTGGTGGAAGGAAGATGTGGGGCTTCTCAGGGATCCCCAGATCAAAGGGCTAACCCTGGTTGGGGTGCTGGTTCTAGTCCTGGCTTTACCACTTCTTAGCCAAGTGGCTTTGAGCAAGCCACTTTCTTTCTGGGCCTTGGTTTCCTCATCTGAAAATGGGGATCAGGATGAGCAGATGATGCCGGAAGAGGTGCTCTATAAACCATGGACTGAAACCAGCCCTTGGTTCCTCTTTGGCCAGGTCCCTGTGATGGAGCTGTCTCTCCGAAAGCTCTCTCAGGAGGGTCCAGCCCTCTTCTTTGGTCTGAAGTGTGATCTCCTGCCAGCAACTGTATTCTGGGTTCCCTCCACTCCATCCCTGATGAATCCCTCTGAATAGGCCACATGCTCCCAGTGGGTGATAGATGCAGGTGCCCCCACTTACCCCAACTTCAAGGTATCCCTGGACTTTCTCAGAGAGGAGGCAGTGGGGTGGAGTGGAAGGTTAGCCCAACTGTCCCACTCGCTGAAGACCAAGATACTTTTTTTCTGGGTTTCAGTGTCTTCACTGCTAAGTGGAGCTAAGAACTCTGTTTGGTCTTCTTATCCAGGGCTATTGTGAAGTTCAAATAAAATTCATATATGACAAAGGCTCTGGGCAGGTAATATCTTGCAAGACACAGGCGCTAAGCTGGAACCAGAGCTGATACCAGCTGTAGACAGCAGAACGAGATGAAGTTTTGTTGTTCTCAGACCCTACACTCCAGGCAGGGAGCTAGGCCGAAAAGGTTCTGTGTAGAACTGGGGTACAGCAACTCCCCAACGCATTGCTGGGCCAGACTTGGCCAAGTTCTCCCCATTCCATTGCCCACCCCTCCCTCACCCCACCCAGTAAGCCTCTGGCCTGGGATTACAGCTGAAGTTTTGTTCTTTTCCAGAGCAGCTCCCTTAGGTGACATAAACATTGACTCAGGAAAGCAAAACTTGCCAAAGGGCTGAAAACTGGAAGTAAACAGCCACCTGATTCTGGCTGGCTAGATGTGCTTGTCAATGGATTGTTGCCTCAGAGACTGAGTGAGCGCTCAGTATAGGTGCCTGCCTTGCTCAACTTTCACCCCCTTGGCTGGCTGCCTTCCCCTGGGGTGGCTCCCAGAGTCTTCTTTTAAGGCCAGGACTAGGACTTCCCTGGTGCTAAAGATAGCAGCAAAGTCAGCAGCCAGGTAGGATCAGGGAGGAAGTGGGGACAAGACACTTAGACCAAAGCCCAGCCCTGAGAGGCAAATCCTAAATCTGTCCCACCCAGCCCACTGCAGCATTGCTGGTCTCCTGTTGAGTGCATCCCCCATTCCTACATTATAGCTCTGGTCTTGCAGTTCTCACTACCTAAATGCTCCCTCCTTGCGTCATCATCATGCTGTCCTTCCCAGAAGCCTTCTCTGACAGGCCCATTCTGCAGGACCTAGAGTCACTCTGTCATCCCCGGCCTCGGTCTATACAAAGAAGGGGCCCAACTACAGCAAGACTCCTCAACCTTTTGAACACATGCCCTGCCAGGGAGAGGGCTCAAAAGTCCAAAGTCCTGAGAGGGACAGTTAAAGTTATGCTCTTGTTAGAACTCCTGGCTCCTCCCAGACTCTGGCTTCAGAGCAGCTCAGACAACATGAATCTAACACCTGCCCAGCAGGCCTGTGGGCCTTTTCCTGCCAGGTTCCTGCCAACTTGCATTCTGGGCGAGGGTGGGCATCAAGCCAATTCTGGCTGTTACCCCCGACTTCTATACACCCTTCTCCAGGTTGCTTACCTCCTTCCAAAAGCTTTGTGTGGCCTTTATCAGAAACCCTTTGACCTTTAGGTTTTCCCTTAGGCTCTGCAGGGGGCTGGGGACTGGGTGCCTTGAAGAAATGAGGCAACCTGAGGGGAAGCTCAGCCATCTGGTCTGGACCACAGGCTGAGAAGAGAGGGCTCCGGGCTCAGGAAATTCCCTTAGACCCCTCCTGATCTGCTCTGGTGACTTTGTGGAGGGCTGAGTTTCTCTACCAGGACTGTGCATCTTTCAGATGCCTCTGGGCTTATGGAAGGGAAACCAAAGGATAGAAAAACTCTTTAGGTTCCAGAGAGAAAAACAGCAGCCCCAAAGCCTTAACACTCATAGACAGGCTACAGACTTCTGAGGCTAGGGCTCTATCACCTTTGGATGGGGGCTTCTAACTCAGGGTCTGAACCGAACACAAAGTCAACGGCTACAGCCCTGAGAACCGCTCTCCATACTTCTGGGGCTGCCCTGCAGGGCCTAACTTCCCAGCACTCCGCTCCTGGCTCTTAGCTTTTGATCATGTCCCTGTCCCTTAGCATTTCTTTCCTACCAGTATACACACCAAAATGTAACATAAGAAGGAAGATGTCTTGATAATAACAATAACAAAAATAACAATAGCTAACACTCATACGGTACTTTGTTATATGCCAGGAAATGCTCTAAGTACATTACTTTTTTTTTTTTTGTCCTTTTTGAGACCGGCCGCACCGCGCTCAGCCAGTGAGCGCTGTGAGCGCACCGGTCATCCCTATATAGGATCCGAACCCGCGGTGGGAGCGCTGCTGTGCTCCCAGCGCTGCATTCTCCTGAGTGCGCCACGGGCTCGGCCCAACATTACTTGTTCTACTCATTAATCCATAACCAATTGTAGGAGGCAGTTACTATTATGTCCATTTTTTCAGATAAAGGAACTGAAGCACAGAGAAGTTAGGTAACTTGCTCCAGGTTACACAGCCAGTAAATCAAGTGGCAAAGCTGAGCTTGGAACTTAGGCTGTCTGGATTCAGGGGTGATGCTCCTAACCACTACATAAACTGCCTGATAGGAGATAAGAGGGATGTACAGCTACAAATTAAGCCTATGTTGCCTCCCCATAGACCAGAGAGCTAGGGCAAAAAACCAGGTTTGCTGACTCTCAGCTCCCTAGCTGGTCTGGAGCCTCTCGATCCCAAGTGATGTCTGATGTGCTGCAGTCTGGTTGAGTGGGAGGGGGTGGAGAACTCAAGGCTTCCAGGGTACACATATGCCTGGCCTGTATCCCACTTCCTGCCTCCTACACTCACTCCTCATGAATAACAGCACCTGGCCCCAGGCCTGTGGTTAATCCAGGGGTTCTTTCATGATGTGTGCAGAGTCTGGGCTTAATGCAAGAAGGCACAGAACAAGGCAGTGCTCATCTCATGGTAAGGAACTGCCACGTAGGCAGGGCAGAGACTCCAAGGCTCAGAAAATAGGCTGCTTCTTGCTCTTTGCTTCTGATTCCTATCCTGTCCTAACTGCTTCAGTCCAGGCCTGTCTCTTGTCTCCAGCACAGTTTATACCTCCCAGTTCCCAAATTCTGTGGATTCTCTGAGGTTTCTTTTCAAATCCACAGCCTGCAAAATCTTTCCTTCATCTTTGTTGAATTCTACTCAAGCCACCTCGTATGGCTCTGTCTTCCTTTCCCTATACTCATTCCCTTTGCTTTGTTTTACCTAAGTCTTAATACAGGCAAATGTCATTTAAGAAAGCTAATAAGTGGTCTGGAGGCCAGTGCCTCTTAAGGAACCATGAGCTCCTTGATGGCAGGGTCCATAGCACCAGGTCTAGCTCTTTACGCATGACTGACAGTTGGTAAAACTTAGATAGAAAGCTTGCTCCCCTGGGGAACTGTGATCTCCCTGAGGGAAGAGGCTATAGCTCCTTCTGTCTTCTCCTTCACCTAGCTCAGGACTAGGGCTTTGCACATTTGCTGAAAGATGTAAATTTCAAGTTTGAGGACAAAATTACCTTCCTACTCTCTGGCCTGCCTGTCCTCAGGCCCAGCTCTGGCTCTCCTATTCACTGATGGGAAGTTGCTGGAAGGTTCTAGGCAGAGAAGTCACACAATTTAGTTGATGATTTATTTAACATCTGAAAAGGTTAACAGGATGCTGTATGGGGAATGGGTTGCAAGGGGCAAAGGCGGAAGTAGAGAGGCAAGTTAGGAAGCTCCTACAATAATCTAGGCCAGAGATGATGAAGGACCAGGGTGGTAGTGGTGGGAGTGGTGAATAGCAGTTAGATTTGGATATATTTTGAAGGCAGAGTTGCCAGAATTCTGTAGTTGACTGGAAAAAGAGGCATTGAAGATTCCATGAGTTTCAGCCTGAACAACTAAACTAGAAGGATAGGGTACCTGTTAACTGAGATGGGGAAGACTGAAGGAGGAAGGGAATAAAATCTGGGGTTTGGTGTTGGATATATTGAATTTGAGATGTATATTAGATATTCAAGTGGAAATGCAGAAGAGATGGAATCCTCAAATGGGGGGACAGAATGGGGCTCCTGACCTCCCCTCCCTACATCACTTTGAGCTACCCGAAACATTACTGAGAAAACAGAAGCTTCTATCAAATGTGAAACTCCACCACCAAATCTGTAATCCTACCTGCCTTAGCACCAGTCTTCTCTGTCCTCCTTCATGCTACAGGCCGAGTTTTTTTTTTTTTTTCCTTTTTTTTGTCTTTTTTTACTGACCGGTAACAGGATTGCAACCCTCGGTGTTGCGCCTAACAGGATTGCAACCCTCGGTGTTGCGCCTAACAGGATTGCAACCCTCGGTGTTGCGCCTAACAGGATTGCAACCCTCGGTGTTGCGCCTAACAGGATTGCAACCCTCGGTGTTGCGCCTAACAGGATTGCAACCCTCGGTGTTGCGCCTAACAGGATTGCAACCCTCGGTGTTGCGCCTAACAGGATTGCAACCCTCGGTGTTGCGCCCGCACCGCGCTCAGCCAGTGAGCGGGAACTGGTCTCCACGTGGGATCCGACCCCTCGGCGGGAGCGCTGCCGCGCTCCCAAGCAGCGCACTCTCCAGTGCGCCACCGGGCCGGCCCTACAGGCCGAGTTTTTCTCTTTAAAAGCTGCATTAAATGAATTAATATAAAGTGCTTGGAACAGTGCCTGGTACATGGTAAGTACTACCATGATGTTATCTTTCAGCTTAACATGGCCTCCTCAGAGAGAACCTATTCTATTTTTAAAAAATTAATTAAATTATTAATATTATTTTTTTACATTCTAAGATGTTGTTGTGGAGCAGTTCGGGTGGAAGGAGAAATGCGCGAGGGGAAGGGGAAAGGAAATAGAGTGGGAGGAGGAAGAAGGAGGGGCGGCTTGGTTGAGGCCCCTGGCACCCTCCTCATTCTGGCAGGGGAGACCAAGGGGCTTCCAGAGGCAGCTTGGTCATTGCTGGGCTGGATGCAGATGTCAGGGGGTTGTGGCTGAAGCCGTTGGTCCCCCACTGCCCTGGCTCTGGATCCCAGGGCGTGAGACCCTATTCTTTATTGTAGCACCTAGTACTCATCACAATCTGTAAATATTTTATTTTTTTACTATTTATGCTCAATGAAGACAGGGAATCTCATTTTCTACTATATGCTCATAACCAAGCATAATGCCTGATACAGAGCAGGTACTCAATAAATATATCTTAAATAATTAGAAAAGTAGTTATTTATTTTCTTGCCACCTGCAACAAAGGTCAGGTGCTATGCCAAGACAGAAAAAAGGAGAGCTGGGATTTGTACCAGAGTTCTAACCAATTAACTCAGCCGCACGATGAATAGTTAGGAGGTGTTCTGTAAGTGGCAAACAAGTATACCACTGATATTCTTCTCTTTGTTCATCTGTCATGGTCCTCTGAAGTTACATCTCCTGTATGAAGTGTCCTCTACCCATACCTACCTTTGCTTAGCTGGAATTCCCACAGCTCTCAGTATGCATTTCTTACCTGACTCTTCTTTTATGCTTCTGCATTTTTTTTTCTTCCACAGGTCAGTCCTTGCTGACAGTGCCCTGCTCTTACACACTTGCCCTTCCTTACTTTTCCTGAACTCTTTGCCCTCTGTTGGGCCCACAGAACATGCTCAGTACAAGCTTGAGGAGTGATCATTGCTGCAGCCTTTTCAGAATGATGGCCTGGGGCAGCTCTGCATACTGTATACACCTTTATGGGAGAGATGATAACTCTACAGGAGAGAGGGAGGTTAGATGGCTGCTTTCTTACCTGATCTGTTGTGGCTTGTGATGGCAAAGCTGCAGAGAGTGAGAGCATCCGCAGGGAGGCCTCCAACTTCTGTGGAGGCAAAAAAAAGTTGGGCACCACAATGGGCTCTGGGCTATAATGGTAGTTAAGGGACAAAAATACTTAGAAGTCTACCCTCTTGCCAGACCACCATCTCCACTGACCCCAAAGACCCCCATTCATGTTTTTTGTCCACCTTATTCCTGCCTATGAATCCTCTGCTCAGGTGGTTCCCTTTGACTGGAAGGCCCTGACCACCTGTAATAAATTATAGTCTCTTTATGCATCAGTTCAAATCCTGCCTCCTCCAGGAAGCCTTCTCTTAATCTTAGCCTACAGTAATCCCTCCTTCCTCATATCCTAGAGCACAGACTGCAACACAAGCGAATGCTTAACTATTTAGTCTGATACATTTCTCAATTTTTCTCCTTCAATACTAAGTTTCTCAATGGCAGAGATAGTACAGTTTCCTTCCCTTCTTCCTTCACTGCTTCCCTAGGAACTCGCATGAGGCTGGCAGGTAACAAGTGTTGAATGATGCTTGCTGAGGGCCTGCTGGTTAAAAACTGACCTATCAGAAGTCAGTCACACAGGGTGGGGGTGGGACATGGCTCCAGGGGCAGTACCTTAGGCTGCATGGAGGTGCCTGGCACTTAAGGATGTCCCTTGTTCACATCCAGAAACGAGGGCTCTGCATAAGTGGATGTCCATGGGCACAGCTGGCCCACCCAATCTGGATGTGAGCCCTAGAAGGCAGGGACCATGTCTTGCACTTCTCCTCCATATCCTCTTCAGGTACCCAATGCTGTGTTAAGAACATGGTGTTCCACAAATATTTGCTGAATCAAAGCACTAATTCAGTTTGGTTGAACTTTGGGGGTAGGGGTAGAGGGCTATTTTGATATTACCACTTTTTGTTTTTATTTAATTAGCTAAGTATGGTTCTGATTCAAAGTTGTTTACCAGGCTTTCTATTTTATAACTGATCTTCCATGCTAGACTTTGAACACCAAGATGGCAAAGATGATCTTTTTTTCATAGCCATATCCTGTTACCTAGAACAGTACCTGGGACACAGAAAGTGCTCAATAAATACCCACTGAATGAATGAAATGCCTCCATTTCCTACTTTGGTTCAAGTCCCTGATTTTTCTACAGAGAGAAGGGGGGGAGTGGAGATTGTAAAGGGAAAGAACCTTATGCCCCAAGCCTTCTCCAAAGGCCCAGGGACCTATTTGCTATCATGCTTTAACTGCTGGGGCCTCTGCCAGTCAGCCAGCCAGTGCTGTGGGGAAAGAACAGCTCTGCTGTAAGGTGTAAAGCACAGAGGCTCTCCTTTTAAGCCTATCTCCTACTGTCTGCTTTAGGGTCCTGCTCCAAACAGACATCTTCTCTCTCTAGCTTTTAAGTTCCTTCTCCTTTAGTTTATGAAAATGCTCAAGTTTTCCATTTAGGAAAAACAAAAAAATACCTGACCTTGCATCCCCTTCCAGTTACCACCCAGCTCTGTCACTTACTAGTTGGGTAACTTCAGGAAAGTTCACTTTTTGTGCCTCAATTTCTTCATCTTTAAAAGATATAACAACAGTACCTATTGTTTTTGAGGATTGAATTACTTTATACAAATGCTTAGAATGGTGCCTGACATAGTGAGCACTCAATACATGTCAGCTATTCTTGTCTCCTCAGTCTACGGGGAAAAGTTGCCTGTTCTGGCCATCCTCACCACTGCTTCTCTTACCCAATGTTTGGTTCTGTTTCCACCCACTCAAGGTCCTCCTTAATGCTGAAGCCAGTGAATACATACCAGTCCACATTCCACTGGACCTGTCCTCAGCATCACAGTGCTAACCACTACTTCCTGAAACCCCCTACAGCCTCTGCTCCGGTACCACCTCTCTCCCCTGCTTCTCCCACTTCTAACCAGCCCCTTACCTCCTTTGTGGGTGGGCCTGCCCTTTACATGATAGAGATCCTCACGGCTCCGTCTCTGTGTGTGGTTCTCCCTTTCCACACTTTCTGCTGCCCTCATCGATTTCCAGAGATGCCTACCTTTCTAGCTGAACTCATGCCTGAGCTCCAGGCTTGCATCTCCTCCTGGATGTCATACAGGCACATGTTCCAAGAGAAAATCTGCATCTGTCCCCAAACCTGTCTCAGCAAATGACATCACCTACCAACTTGAGACAGAAATCTCTAAGTCACACTTTATATTCCCCTCTTTCTCATCCCCTGCCCCTCTATCTAGTCCTCTCAGATCTGTTCCGCTCCTCTTCATCATAAAGCAGCCTATGCTTTAGGCATACTTTCCTCATCTCTCATTATTATTGAAAGTTTCCTAACTGGTCTCCTTGCTTCTGGTCTCACCTGATCTAATACACCCCCTACAAGGCACTGGGTGACTTTTCTAATATATAAATCTGACCATATTACACTCTTGCTGAACATTAACATTTACTGAACACATTTATGCACCAGGCACTGTGCTAGGTAGTTTACATCATTAATTTAATTTTCACAACCCCAAAATTGCTATTATTAACTTCATTTTATAGATGCTGAAATTGAAATTTATCTGCTGGACTTTATCTGCTGGACAGAATCCAAGCACCGCAGCCAGGCATAAAAGGCCCTTTAAGATCCAGGCTCGGGCCGAGCCCGTGGCGCACCTGGGAGAGTGTGGCGCTGGGAGCGCCATCCGCGGGTTCGGATCCTATATAGGGATGACCGGTGTGCTCACAGTGCTCATTGGCTGAGCGCGGTGAGGCCGGTCTCAAAAAGGACAAAAAAAAAAAAAAAAAAAAAAA